GCAGCAATCTGTTGAGGATTGCGCGGTCCACCGACAATCTCACCATCTCCGCCCTCACCGCCAGCGGCGTTATCGGCTGGTGGAGCATCGGCTGCTGGTGCTGGTTCCGCCCTATAAATTTTTTATTATACAAGTGAGTAAAGGCAATAATGTTGTATGTCACATAAGTACTTATACTTGAGCATAAATTATTATAAAAAAAAAATTCAAATCAAAATTAAAATTAGGGCTGTGCGATTAATTGATTACTCAAAATTTTAATTAATCATAAAGTAAATAACTAAATTATTCGATTAATTGGAAATTATGATTACTCAAAGGTTCAGTTACTCGAGTAATCAAGATTTTTGACTAACCAAAAACAAGAATATTTGAGTAAAATGCTTTATGATTAATCAACATTTCGAGTAAAATGAGTAATCAACATATCAACTCTTTACATATGTATAAAGTAGTTAAAGTTCCTTGATTTTTTGAAAACAACGCTTCTGTTTTCAAAAATTAAAGCAAAAAATGTTTTCCATATACAGAATGTAAAAAAAAATAAGCATTTTCCAAAGCAAACTCTATTAACGAGCAAAATTATTTTTTTTTTGAGTAATCATATTTCAAGTAACTCGATTAATCATCGTTTTGAGTAATCGAAATCTTGATTACTCGAGTAATTGATTAACCGAATAATTGATTAACCAACTTGCTCGAGTAATCAAATAATCGCACAGCCCTAATTAAAATAAAAATAAAAATAAAGACAGATATCTATACCAAATAAAAGAATTAAAAACGCTGTTTAATTCAAGCAATGAATAATATAGCAAAACTTCCTACCACACATTTTGTTTACATATTAATTTTAAATTTTTAGCGATACCCAAACTATGTTTATGGAACACTGATCGTATAATTTATTTTATTTGTCCACTTACTCTTCCTTCTTTTTGTCTTTCTTGCCCATTATTGTAGCAGTGTTTTAAATAAATGTGATAAGCTTGAAAATAAAAATTATTTCATAAATAAATGTTAAGATTTTTTTCTTTTTTATCGTATGCATAAGTACGAGTACGGTTTATTTTTTTATGACCGTGATTTTATAATTTAGCAAATTTCATAAAGCAAGCAATATTATTCGTGCTCTACAAGTGGTATCATCATTGAGACTGCTTTCACTCGTTTGAGTAAAATCACTCAGCCGCACAACTCATTGAAAGCCTTTTCAATTTGCCAAGAATTGACAGTTACATTTACTCAATCGAAGTGAAATTTTCCGACAAATAATTTTCTAGAACATTTAAACCTATAAAGTCCCTCGAAATACCATTTTATTCAAAAATTTTCCAAACAGGGGTCAAAATGACCCTTACGTAAGAGAGCTAATGGGCTAAAATGCTCCACAAATGTTTCCTCGTGAAATTTTACTACATGTGTATTTCGCTCCAAAACACTTAGGCAAAAAATTTAAAATTTTAGATGGTCATAAAAAAAAACAAATTTGACTTAAGACTGCAAAAAAAAATTGGAGATTTTTCTATATAGATCAAATAAAAAATAATAATAAAAAATACGGTTGCACTTTGTAGTTTATTGCCCGTATTAAACTACCCTTGTTCATTACTTATTTCCCATGCTGGAAAATTAAAAAAAATTTCAATTCTATACAAAAGTACCACTAAAATGCGATGAAAACCTATCAGAGTTGTTGACCAGCTATTTATGCCAGCAGTGCAGCCACAACTTTCCCAATGAATCATACGCTTGTTACGCTTTGAGCTGTGATGAAATTAATCAATACATAGTACAATGTACACACACTTTGCCAAGTTCGCAGTAGAATTAGAGAAGTTGCCGTGTGCCAAATTATTAAATTAAATATCAAAAAAATAATATATTGCGAAAAGTATTTTCACAACAACCCAATTTTCCTCCAGAGCGATATTGACTTTAGCATTTCGCAATTTTGTTCACCGCAAAGTGGCTCTTAATTATTAATTAATCAATATAGTCCCTTGGTGTTCATTAATTGATTTCCGGCTGTCGCATGGATTCGCAATGCTACATACAATCACTCATAAGTGTTTACTATAGTTGTAGGTGGTTATTGCACACTTAACTAGGTGAAACAAAAAACTAGTACGTGACCGGTAATTTTTGGGGAACTGGAACTGGAGTCCACTTCACTCAATAGTAGTACTTATGTATTGGCTAGATAAAGCTTTTATACTGTCATCGTTCAAAAACAGTGTATTGAAAGCTTAGGAAATCTTGGAGAAAATATAGAACGAGCTGGGTCCACTGCTCTCTGCTAGAGATTTCTCTTTTGCACCATTTATCGAGGGTTATATCCGCTACACCGCTGTGGTGTAGTTAGAAGTGCGCAGTACCCTTCCTCAGGACCTGGGATAGAGCCCATCTTCCGATTAACATCAAAAACAAAAAAAAAAAACAAAAAGTTTTTCTAATAACGGTCGCCCATCTGTAGGCAATGACAAACCTCCGAGTGAATTTCTGCCTCGAAAATGAACTTCTTATAAAAATACAATCGCCGTTCGGAGTCGGCGTAAAACTGTAGGTCCCTCCTTTTCGCCAAGCGAGGACTATCCAGAATTCAAGTGTGACCACAGTAATTAGCTTTTAAGATGAAAAAAAACACAGCTCCATAAAAAAAAATTTAATAATAGTCTCAGAATCCAAAACAGTCGTACTATGCGTTTTGCGGTCGCTGAATACAAAGCCGAGGTCAGTTTTTTTCCATCACGTTTGGAACATGGCGAATGTCATATCAGGGACACGTTTTTTGAGGTTATGGAAAAGTCCTGACCACAAAACTTTATTGAGGATGTGTCCCATTTACGCCGCATTTTATCTCAGAAAATTTTTCAAGAACCTCCTATCTCAGAATTTAGTTGAAGAACGCCGTATCTCAGCTAAAAATGCATTGAAAATGTGCTGAGATAGGCCGGTTTCAAACTAGCTGCCGAGATAGATCGATCTTGCGCTCAGGTATCGATATGTTCTTATGTATTTTGTTTGACTGTTACTGAATAAAAATAACACAAATATAGTTTTTTTTTTTTTAATTCTCGAATCGTTGAACCGAACCGAAACCCCGACAAAAAAACACGCTTTGACGGACCAACCGAAAACCTCTATACCAAGCATATTTCGAAACTTTTAACGAATTGTAATAGTTTCTTTGAAAGATAAATTCGAGATTCGAGTTTTTCCGAGTTTCAAGTTGACGGGGCCTCCCACTTAGTCACACAATTTTCTTTGGTAGTAAATTAACATTTTCATTCACTGATTTCTATTTGTCTCCAAAGGGTTAAAAGAGCAGAAACCCCTACTAGTCAAGTTTTCGAATTCACCAGAAACGAACCAATCAGATACCACTACACTTAACTGTTTGGTAGTAGAACTAGCGCCTGAGTAGTTAGTTGAGTGGGTGTTGACACACCACAAGGGCATCGCTATTTGTACCGCGATTAATTAAGGACGCCACTATCCTTTTTATCGTTGAGTTAATTTAAGTACAAATCAGTAAAAAGAAAAATTATAAGTAAATAATTGCAAAGAAATTAAACTAAAGCGAAGGAGCACACTAAAAAAAGTCGAGAGTGATTTGCAAAATCAATAATGTCAGCCACTTACATATTCCTTGCTTTGTTGCGATACTTTGCTCGGCGACTGCGGAACTAAAAGCACAGAGTACACTGTTACACTGAGCAGAAAAATTTAATATTAGTTGTTGTCGATAGCGCTGCTGCGGCTGTGGCTCAAGCAGCTGCTCCTTCCTAGGCGTGTGGGCGATAGGGTGCGGCAAGGTGTTGTCTACAGCGGTAAAAGATGCGAGATGCGTTCCTTGGCACTGACGGCGTGTTGGAACTGTGATACAAGCAAGAGGAGAAATTTGAAAGAAGAAAAAAATGCACAACGTTGAATTTAAGTTTGATTTGACTAAGTAAGTACATATGTTAAAGCGGTCAAAGTATGACTGGCCACTGACTGACGTTTCTTACTCACCACTCACAAAATATCTACAATTGCAGCAGCAGGGGTGTTGGTTGTGTGTTTTTTGTTTTTGTTTTTGATTGTATGCCGTAGGGTTGTTTTCGAAGTTAGGCAGCTTTGTGCATTCGAACTTCGAAAGAATACAGAGATTACGCGTAAATGTTTCGGCTGCTTTCCTGCCTTTCAGTGGATGACTCGCAGAATTTCGTATGTGCCCTCCGTTGTTTTTTTTTTCACTAGATGTTGAAGTCTATTCAGCCCTTATTAAAATTATGTTTTAC